CCCCCCCCCCTTTGTATGCGTATACACGAGCGCGCCGGGTAGCGTCCTGAGAGAGCGTTTTCTTTGACGTCAAAGGGGCAATCGTCCTACCCCGTCGAAATGCCCCGGGTGGCTGAGTCGTAAATCCGCACGCCCACTTGAGTCGGTAGTCGCCTTAAACCTGCGAGAGATAAGTAATATCGGAGAGAACGATGAGTAAAAAAGGATGCAGGGTAAAAAAGGAAAGAAAGTAAAAATAGAAAAAAGCATGGAAATTCTTCGTCTTTGCGAAAAATGAAGAATCTGCGGAGCTTTTATTTCACAAATCGATTCCCGAGCTCTTTCGAGTCTGCTGTTTCTGTTTTATTTTAGTACGACGTTCGACTAAATGAAACGCATCTAAATTCAGATATTGCAATAAGTCTGAAAAGAGAGAGAATATTAGATATATTTGACTTACAATTGAAAACACACACACATGTATAAACACTCGCATAAATATATATAAATGTACACGTAGTTCTTTAATTAGCGATTCGAGTGTTAAAAATCCAGCCGGCTTCGCGGAATGATTTCTCATTAATGCTTTGAAATATGCAGCTACTTTTAGAAAATGATATTTTATTTTCCAAGATAAATCCGTTTACGTCTAGAAAGTTACGTCCACTTCAGTAAAGCTCTCGGACTTTCTCATAATTGCGATTGAAAATGATTCTTCGACATTTTTCAAAATTTCGAAGATTCGCGACGTGCAAATTCGTGTCTGAGAGGGTATTAAGGTGTTAAAAAGCGTCGATGCGACCGATGCGGCTGGTTGCAGCGGCGTGCACCGATACAAGTGGAACATTGTCCGTATGATGATGTATAAATAGTTTGGGCGGTATGAAAATAGACACCGGGGCGTTGGACCGGAGGATCGATGGCGATACTCGTCCCCGGTGGCGGCTTGCCCGACTTTATTTTTCGACAAGTAACCGCGTTACGCGACTACGTCGAGACAGCGCGTCTGCACCCGGTATCCGACACTTACGTTATCTCTCGGTATCTGGGCATTTATATGATCGCAGATTTAATACTTTCATGCCGCGAGCATCCGGTACGGTCTGTTCTTTTCTTCTTCGTATAACACAAAGACGCGCGATTGACCACGTGTCCATCATTTTATTTCTCCACACCTATTCTATCCTAAATGTAATATAATCGACTGGAATTTCTTTCTATATAAAGTTGGACGTTCCTTCCAAATACATTTTAATTAACGATTTACTGTAATAGGAGCGAATATCAGACAATCATTAGATCATTCGATCGATCTGCTTCTGTCTTAAATGATATCGATCCAATCTTGGCTCTTTTTTTTCTGTTATTAGATTATCGTCTAAATAGAAAATAGAATTGATCTAAAGTTACAATGTCGATGTCAATTTATCCGAGCGGGCATTAATAGCGACGCTCGATGAAAACGCTAAATGAACAATAAGATTCGTGAGATTTCGTTGAAACATCGTTTCCCCGATTCTTCGTGTGTTGTTGCACGTGCACACGCTTTGGCGCTCCTGCCAATCTATCGAATCTCTCGTCGTAACGCAATGTTACTATACGTTTAAACAGCGCGACTGCGCTGTGTATGTACTTGATGTCCGCTTTGCGAAGATAACGTCCCGTCGAGTATCCCAGTCGGTTCGGCGCTTGTCAAAACAAGCCGCCGAGAATACCCGCCATGTGGATGGAAATAGCAGCACGCGTGTCCGAAATACGCATGCATCGGAAGGAAGGATGATGGAACGCGGGTGCAAGTCGGCGTATACGTTTGATGTGGGCACGTCAATGGCGTAACTAATGGCCTCGAATAGGCAATGGTGCAAGGTTTTTCGCGACACCGAAAGAACAAAGAAGCATGTTACTAGAAAGTTTTCGAACATTTCGGCCGTTAATTGAGGTTTTTTCTACAGTTGAAGAGAATAAATCATTCAGGTACATTTTCTATACGCAGTTAGATAATGTTTTTTAAAAGTTCGAAAACTTTCTAGTAACTTGCTTTTTTGTTCTTTCGGTGTTGCGAAGAACCTTGCACCATTGTCTATTCGAGGCCATTAGTTACGCCATTGACGTGCCCAGATCTAACAAAACCGTAAATATATGGGAAGTCCCGTGGAGAACTTTTCTTTCACGTTTTCTTCTTCAGTTCATTTATTATTTTCCTTCTTATTTAGCGTCGCGCACATTCTTTTACACAAAAGCGTGCTTTCTCTCGTACACGGGAAAAAAAATTTAAAGTGTTCTCGAGGTGCAGGTAGCAATTAGACAACCCCTCGAGTTCTCGAGATAAAGTTCCGCATGAGACTCGTTATCCGCTTCCAAAGAAACCCGCAGGAGACTAAAGTCTCTTCCCAAACTCTCGCATGTTCTCACCCGAACATCAAGGTCAAGCCGGTTTCAGGGTATACTCATCTAATTAGAGTCGAGCACTAATGACTTCGCGGCCTCGGTGTGCGAATATCGGGAACGCGAGATGTTGCGTAATACAACCGCGTGGCGAATCGCTCGTGATCCAGAAATTTATAGTCCGTCAATCTTTCTGCCAATTATTCCGGTCGCGGGACAAGCGCGACATGTGTACATAACAGCCACGCTTCTCTGTTACATCCCGCGCGCATCCGCTCGCTTTGTAGGACACGATCCGCGAGAGAGTAGAAGCGATCTCGGGAATGAGGAGAGAGGGTGGCACTTCACTCTCTCAGCTGGCCCGGGTATCCAGGGTTCGTCGTCATAGCGACACCCACGAGCGCCGGCTAACCATCCCCCGTTCCATCGTGCGAGCCTCGTGGTGTCAAAAGTTCCACACGACGCGCTCCCCGTAATTAACCTTTCGCGATCCAATTTTCATTATTTTCTTCCTCGTGAATCGCGCGTGATTCAATTTTACACAAAGATGTGGACACGTGGACGAGTGATGGGTCAGCAGGCGAGGAACTTTCCGAGCAGCGAAATTCGATCTCGATGAGAAAACTTTTTTTTATGTCCGAAGTAGCTCGAGTCTGATGACTGATCGCATCGATACATGAATGATGAAATGAAATATATCATTTATCGATGTATCAACGCGAATATATAGCCTACCGAGGATACATAATTAATGTCGGGCGATAAATTCCGACTGCTATTTTAATTCCGGAAATGAATGGCGCGCCGAGGGATGAGCGTTGGCGCGGAGAAAATTACCACTCGTAATGTTTTCATTTTGTACAATTTAAAGATTTATTCCAATATATACAAAACATCGCTTCTTTCGCGTCGACGGAGGCCACATACGTCGGCTTCCTCGCGAAGAACTCTCTACTTGTTTAACATGTCGCTGATAGTCACTCGCGCGTCGGACAATGTCGAGAAACATCGATGATGAGATAATCGACGAATCGTTCGCACGCATCGTTACAACTCCTCTTCCAGCGTACAAATGTATCGAAACACGCATTCGCATGATCCCGGCTGTCGATACGTTCTTTAATGCTGATCTTCCAGCGTACAACAGTTCATCCTGATAACGATTAGGTTGCGAAATTCCGAAGAAAGGAAAAAGAAGCTTTGTATCATTTATGCTCGCGTGCATCATTAGCGAGCGATTTCCTTGCTAAAGATTTCGCGTGAACGGTGCTCGAGAACACAGCATCGGAAAAAAATCAGATTCGCCGGAGAATTATCGTCGAAATTTACCATCAACTGTAATTATTAGGACAATTATAATCGCACGAGTCTCTGATTTCAAGATCAACGTGCACCTGTTCGCCGGATGCAAGCGACGACGAATTTCGCAACTGGCTCGCGGTATCCGCTCGTGGAAACGAGCTCGTTTCGCGCGTCGTTATCCGTGGGTGTTTTCGAACTCGCAGGATCGTTTGCGTGACCATTACGACCGTCGGAGTCGCAACGTGTGCGAAATTACGAATTACTATGTCTATATCACCGTTACGAAGTGGCGTAACTAATCGTACAAACGGAATCCCTACGCGCTACACCATAAACCGCTACAAGAATATATGTGTACTATATATATGGCTACATATACATACGTACACACGTATATGTATATGTACACGTACAGCGCGAACGCGAATGTATATCTATCTCTACGTGTAGAAATGTATTTACATCTGTATGATTACGCGTTACCGTTCACGAATCTAGTAGTGGTTGTTGTCAATGTAAGTAATCGTCTACTATCCTTGTTTCGTAATCCCTATACCTGCGTCTTTGTTACGGCTATGTCGGCACTTCCGAAACTTTACGGCACTTTCTCCTGAAAAATTTGCGTTTAACGAAGGATCAAAACTTTCGACCGTTCTCGTGTCCGGTTTCACTAGGATAGGACAGATCTCTTCTGATCTATAGATTTGGATTATACAGTCTTTTCGCTCTTTCGTCTCTTGTCTAGTTGTCGATAGTTACATCGCTATCATACGAACGAAAACGGCTACCTTTCTTCTTCCCCCTCTCAGATACTCTGGTGATATATAAAATATCTCTACGTGGTTGTCTCTCTCTCTAACCTCGCGTCTAATCCCGCATAAGGCATCGCTAAGACCATCGGTTTACCATCGGGGCTAACGTAACTAACTGACTAACGTAACGCAAGTCATACGAACCAGCATTATTGTCTCTACAGTTAGTACACCGAGCTAATCGCCAGTATGACCTCCGACACCGCTCTTTCCTCGGTTAAAGAGCGAATTCTCCTTCTCTCTCTCTCTCTCTCTCTCTCTCTCTATCTATCTACTTAGATACGTATATATCACATTTACATTTAATTGCTAGAGCGTCTTATATGAGAGACTATCTCTTTTATCTTTTTCACGAAAGCGATCTTTTCCTTCTCGACCGCAGAACAGCGCGAAATTCAGAGGCATCCGAGAGACGCCCGTTCGAGAAGTCGGGACGTCTTTTAGGCACCTGTACAACGCGCCTTGGACATGTGGATCTTCTTCTGGGATTCATCATCACGGGAGTTGTCGTCACCTAACTCCGCCGATCGCTACGAACATCCACGTTTCTCTAATCCTACCGCGAATCCTCGTTCTCCCGCTAATCAAGGAAGTTCGTTCCGCTAATTGGTCCGCCTATGTATAGAATTTTCAACACTCTGAAACACCGGTAGAGCCGGTAGTGAGCAGCACTCTCCGGTGCTACTCCGTGGACTATTTCGTATTACTTGGCACATCCGTACGAGGTCCGCACGTGGAGGCTGCCCATTCGGAACTTGCCAAGTTCCTCCTGAGCGGGCCGCAGGCACGGCTCGCTGCAGGTCCTCGCCATCTCTCACATGTCCTCCGTGCTGTAGCCGCTGATCAGACCGGGCTCGTCCACGTTGGAGTCGCATTGCATCACCCACTCCCATATCCTCTTAGTGACGACCTTCTGGTCCACCGTGGTCTCCAGGCCGTAGCTATTGAGCAGCTTCCTCAGCTTATTCTTGTTCTCATCGAAGTGATGCCGGTCGTCCAAGATCGTGTCGAGGTAGAGCAGGCTGTCGCCGCGCCTCGCCAGGCTCTCGCTCACGTCGACCGACGTCGAGGTCGCGCTGTGGCTGATCTTGCTGATGCACCACGAGTCCTTGAGATATTTGTTGATCTCGGTCACGTGCGGCCTCTTCTCCGGCTTGTGCTCGAACGCGCGACGGAAGTAGCGCAACAGCCGCGGCGTGAATCGCCGGAACGTCGGCGGGATCTTAGTGGTGCGTCTCTTCAGCCACCGCTGGAAGGCCGAGTAGTCCGGGTCTTGGATAGGATCGGCGCTCTGCCACGGCGGATTGCCGGTCAAGCAGACGAAGAGCACGATGCCGAACTGCCAGCAGTCCGAGCTCCTCTTGCAGGCGTACCGCTCGTTCTTGATGACTTCGTGGATCTCGGGCGGCTGGAACGGCACCCAGGTGCAACGGATCTTGTTCACCAGGGTGCCTTCGCGTCTCGTGCAGCCGAAATCGCAGAGCTTCACCTTCGTCATGTCCTGAGCGAACACCAGCACGTTCTCCAGCTTGATGTCGCGATGCGTCAGCTGCTTCGAGTGGATGAAGTCGAGGGCGGAGGCGAGCTGACCGGCGATCCTCTTGCACGCGTCCTCGCTCAACCCGCCGGCCTTCACGTTGCCCGCGAGGTCACCGTAGGGCGCGTATTCTTGCGCGAAGACGAAACATCTCTCCGCCTTGAAGGCGACCGCGTACGAGCAGAGGATGTTGGGATGCGGGCTCAGGTGGTAGGAATAGTGAAATTCTCGGTAAAAGTCTTTCTCCGACGTAAGCTCCTGGTGGACCGCTTTCAGGACCACTCTGGTCTGAGTGGCTCTGTGCGTCGCTAATAAAACCTTTGCGAAACTACCCTCGCCCAATGTCTTCTCCACGTTGTACTCCTTCGAGAGCTCCAGCTCCTCGAGCGGCACCTCCTGCACCCTGTGGATGCCGGACTCTTTCTTCTCGTGTAGCTTCATCTGCAATGAGAAAAAGATGAACGGTCGCTTTATGGACTTTCGATTTGTTTAGTTGTGACAGTTGAGCGATGGGATGAAGTATATCGTTCAAGCGGGAAAATTTCTTCCACGTGTGGTTTATTAAAATTAACGTTTAACCTGAATTTGAACGAATACGTTTATTCTTAGAGAATGTTTGAATTTATCCGGTAATAGACCCAACGTTTGTCTCCCGGTGGTTGCTACTTTCGTATGAGCCGCCTGTCCACGTCCATTTCCAACGAGGAAATGGGAATTTCATCCGTCGGAAATACGTTCGCGTTGATTTCGCGCTTCGGTAGCGCTTTATTGAAGAAACATCAACCGTCGCTTGTTCGACCCGACGAACGAATCTCATACACTAGCGCCCACGATCGTCAACGGGGCGAGCTTTTCAGGAGCTTTCCCACGCTTCCTTCCGCGAGAAAAGACAATATTCACCGCCTTCTGACTAGCCAACGCGTCCTATTTCGTGAAATAACGACGCCTAAATCACCCTCAGGTCTCCGAATACGCACGATACGTCAAGGAACATATATGTTCCTATCGAATTTTGCTCGAACATATTTTCGTCGTTAGAGTCTGAATTCACGAATTCACTTATCGGTGCTTATCGGTCGTGCAAGTTGCATAATAGTTACATTAAGCAGAAGCCGACCTGTCTGATGATGGCCCCGGCTCTCGGACGCCAAACTCGATTTCTTCCAAACCGCACCCGCCGCGCGTTCTCACACGTGCGTCATCGGCTCCGCGAATGCGGCCGCGTGCTCTCTCTCTCTCTCTCTCCCCTTCGCCCGCAAATGCAGTCGAGTTTTGCGTTTCCGTTCGAGATTTACGATCATCTCGCAGATCGATAATAATTCAGCCGGCGACACGCGGGAAGTAGTGGGGAACTTTTGGATCGCCGCCACCGAGCCGGCGATCCCTCGTTTTCGCTTTAATACCACTTGGCGAACTTGGCTACCCTCGCCGCTCCCGGTGCAGAGAGCCGTGCTTTCGCGTTTGCAACGGGGAGCGAAACTGGGGGTGAGAGGGTGGTCGGGCGAACCCAGGACGCTTTAGAGCTTCCCAGGATCAATAGCAAGGACCACGTTTCGGTCGGCGGCGTGCGAGCCTGGTCGGCGCCGAGCTCGGAAACTTTTCTCCCGAGCGAGAGAGGGAGAGAGAGAGCGCGGACTCCGCTCGAAACGCGATGTTGCGTTTCAAAAAGTTCGTATCGAAAGCTATGTTTTCCGATTTCCGCCGGTAAGATTTCACAGCTAAGTTCATCCAAGCCGTGCAGTTTGACGATTTCACAGCCGGATCAGTGCGTTATCCGATTGCAGCGCATTGGTCGCTAACGAACGATTTAATTAAGCTTTAATTAAACACGGAGATATGTTCGTTCGTACGTTTCATGACTACGATAACGACTCGAGATATGGCCGATGTGTTCGTACGACGAAATGAATGCGAACAGATCTCGTGGGTGGCGTGCTCACGTGTATTTTAATAATTCGACAAGCCATATCGGGAACGGGACTCCAAGCTTCTCGTTTTAATTATTAAAACGCGCGAGTTACGTATTCATTTGTACGTCATTGTGTCGCCCGCATAAACGTCGCTCGTGTTTAATTTAACATCGTGGTTTTTTCTTTCTTTCTTCCTCGCGATCTTCATCTCGACGAATTGCAGACGGTGTGGTTCGCCTATTTTCCGCTCATTGTTTCGTGTCACGGTTCTTTTTTCGTGTTATCGTCAGTTCAGTCCGGTTAATTCCGACAAGCCTCGGAGGCGCGGGTATATTTAGCGTTTACGTTTACCACATGTATTTTAATACACGCGAGCAGTTTGTACACCTTGGCGTGCGTGCGTGATGTGCGTCTTATGCGTTTAAGCGGTTCAGTAGACACGCGTATATAAAGACCGACAATGTGAGCGATTAAACGCGCCGCAAGTGTCGCGGAGACCTTTCAACGTGTCGAGTCGTTAACAGGCTCAAGTCTTTGAGAAATTGTACGAGGGTGCCGATTACGATATTAACTCCTCGTAGCAAATTATCAGAGTTCCTCACGTTTGTTATTAAATGCCAACGCTATGGTCATTTATCAAGTGTACATTAGACCGTGAAATTTTATAGAAAAACATCGAGGAGTTTCGCGAACCGATTAATCATAACAACAGAAATTTATACCGAATGCTACCTTCGTATTTCGTTGCACGCATTCGTCACCCTCATCGTGTACCGAGATACTTTTTAAAATCTATGACGTAAGAGCATCTCTTTGTCACTATTATCCCTTATAATTTCGAGTTAAATTTCCCCGAATTCTTCCAAGCGAGGTTTCACACCGCGGTAGCCCAAGGTGAGATTCAATAGAAAATTTGCAAACGGTACTAGCTGAAATACATTGGCACTAGTTCGTGCAGGGTCACGCGAATGAAATTCATGTAGCGACAATGAAGACGAGATGACAGCATGCCAAAAAATACGTACCACGACAGAGAAATCCGTACGGCGATTGACAGAAACGTCACTGCACACCGGCACAGTAAACGGTAATACGTCAGTATTATAGCGTATGAATCACTCTCTTTTTCGATCAAGTTTCGGTCATAAGTCGCGTGTCCTCTTCTTCACATCTTCACGTCGCGACGACGTGACACGCGTACGTCAGCTGCTCACAAATGTCACAAGTGTCGAATGAAATCGGCGGCAGCGGCGTTCGCGGAATTATGTCAACCGTGTCCTCCTGCTTTCGGGCAGGTGTCAGCCGAGAGACTGCACAGAAATAGAGACTAGAGGTAGCGAGGTGGGTGTATCGCTACGCCTAGCATCGACCGACGACTGTTACGGCGACGACGCTCGATCACATTTCCCGTAGCGCGCGTATCTCATCGTCTGGAGCGTCGCGACGCGCAGCGTCGCTTTTATACACCCGGTCGCAGGGAGCCGCGCAGACGTGGATTATAAAAGGGCGCGGGACGCACACGGTGCGGCGGTATCGAGTATAGGGGGTAGAACGAGCGTAACGCCGTGCGTCGTACGGTAGCTTTTTTTAACGAGCGCATTACGCGAATCGGCGAGTCGCGTGTTACATGAGCGGGACACTCGCATGAATAGAAGTGAGGTTCGTCGCGACTGGATTTTCCGCAGACATATAGAGGTGGAAAGAGAGAGAGAGAGAGAGAGGAAGAGAGACTCTTCTACACGTGTAGTCATTGATCGTTTCTACGTCGTGGGATATCTTTAGTCTCGCCGATTGCCATAGTCGTATTTAAATAGCGACGCTCCGTTTCCATCGGTTTACCGGTTTTTCCTCGCTCGACCGTAAAAAGGACGCGACAGACGCGCGTCGGCTAAAAATTGATTTTTCTAATTTCGCCCGTCGCACGTCACGTCATACATTCGCCGCGATAATTGTTTACGATCGGGGATATCGTTGCATCCGTGACGCGCATTCTCGAGATTTAGGAGCAAGGACTCGATAACCGGTCGCGAGCAATGAGAATTCCTGTGAGCGAAAAGGGCGTGCGGTAAGGCGATAAGCTTATCGCAGAAGGAGCCGAGGTCGTTTCGCGATATTATTTCCCGCGGATTTAGAGACGACCATGCTCGAAAAAAAATAGAATTTCTTCGGTCCTTATATTTTTAAAGCGCTCTTTATTGTCTGTTTGACTGTGAGTTTTGCGGAATAAAGCCATTTCGGTACCGCTCGGGTCCGTGAGATATATTTTTGTAACTGCGCGAATGGATTATTGACACGGATCGACTTAAAGTGGATTTATTGACTTTTCGCATCACTAGTTTCATATTTCAGCTTTCACAAATATCGAGCGAAATAAAAGAGGAACGTTCGCCGCGCGGGAATGCAAGCGACCTCCCTTTTGGGACTCATTGTTCTCTCTCGCGCATCCACTGCGACGAGTTTTTAATTAATTGTCATTCAATGTCGCGGTGGGAATAATGCAAAGGTGAACGATCGAACGCGACGTCGCGAATCTGTTTCGAAATTCTCATTCGTTCCCCCGGGAACGCGTGTATAATTTTCTCGAATTCTTCGCGAAAGTTGTTAATGCGGATTACGCGCCCGTCTCGAGCCCGATTTTGCACCTGAAAGTATTTTTAAAATGTATGTCAAGTATACGAAGTCCATAGAGATGTTCGGCTGTGGTGTGCATAGCCGGATATTAAAGATATAAATAGGAGAAACGGTCGTGATATAGAGATGTGTAAAGTGCAAGTGCGAGTCCATTGTGCAATCGTCGCGAATCGGACTCGCTTGTTGTTAATCGTCGCGCTCGGGAATACACGCGAAACGCCTTGACGTCGGCAAATTTCGAGAAACAGCGAGGAACCAGGATAGAGAAACATATTGGCATCATCGAACTCGCGCGAGTATCTCCTGGTTTCATGGGGACATGGCAGGCGGGGTTAATTTACGGGAGTGTAAAAATCTCAAGGCGATCGTGCGCGAGAAATGAACGTATAGGAACAGAGGAATTTTATAGCGGTTTATTGTTTCACATTTCTCTCTGTCTATACCACCAACCGAGACCAGACGCCTCTATTGTCTATCTCGCGAATTTCGCGAAGCCGCGCCGCGCGCTGGCACGAATCAGACGTACACGCACGGGTCGCTCGCCAAGCCGCTACTGAACTTTCGGGGCATTTATCATTCTTGGAAGTCGCTGATCTTTCTTCCGTGACTGTGAACTTTATCATCCGACGGTACTCGGAAGCTCGGGGGAAAATGTATAATTCTTAATCTTCATATGTCACCTCGCTTATTCGGATTAGAATTTTCTTAGTAAAAGTGTTTATTTTGTGTATCTCGCTGTGTGCGGACAAAGATACATGAGACACTGTTGTTAAAACGGTCGATTTTTAAGGAGCTTCGCGGAGTACGGATTATCGAGCGTAATGCGAAGAGGAGGAAAAAGCGAAGAGGGTGTAGTGGGCGAGAGAAGAAGGAGGAAAAGATAATAGGGTAGGTTCGTTGAAGAGGCTTTACCTTCGCCGACGAGTGCGTGTTCAATCACACTCCACCTACGCTGGGGCACTACGTATGTATATACGTGTACGTGGAACACGCTCGTGTGAATGTGCGAGTCGGTTGCATACATAATAATGACGCAATGTCCAAATAAAAAGAGATGGAGAGGAAACGAAAGAGGGAGGGAGGAAGAGCACCCGCAGCGATCACGGCCGCGGAATCGAGAGTACATAATTATTATCGAGTCGACGGTTCGCGGAACGCGGCTGATGAAACGTCTACATTGGAGAACCTCGGGATATTTACCGCAAACGAGAATAACGGATGTTAAAGTTCTTCTCCGTTGCGTTGAGGTTTCTCGAAGTGGCCGATTTCAGACTTCCGAAGCAGGTTGTGGTACAATCGAAGGGGATGATTCTTCGTGCAAAAATAGCTCGAGAGCGTAGAATAAGATTTCTTCTTTCACACGCGAGCTCTTTTCCGTTCTCGCGAAAATCTATCTTGAATATTAGAAAGTCGATTAGCGTTTCGTCCCTCCGTTAAACTCGAGTGACCTTTCGCTTTGAGTCGTGAAATTTATCTCTCGGCAGAATTTATCGGAGTATGAATACAAAATGTGCGATTTTACTTGAAAGCACAAATATGAATTTATTCTTTACATATCATCTAACTTATTATTATCTGACATTGTACATGTTACATTTTATATTTAACATGTTAATTTTTAGAGACTTAGATTATTTTTATTTTTCCAAGTAAACGATCTAATTCTTTTTATTGTAGGGCAATAGTGGAACGAGAGAAGAGAAAAACATTCTGGAGCTACTGGAATAACTGTTGCCAGAAAATTCAATGATTGGAAGCGGAGAAACCTGCCAAAACGACACGATTGGTGAGTTTTGTGCAATTTGTTATAATGAGAGCGCATTTTATTTGGCAATTTCTTATGCAACTAACTTCATGAAAAAATTTGTCGTGCAATTTGCCGCGCACAGTTCCTTGATGTCCCTTTTGCATAGCACAACTCTTCAAATTACAAATTAATAATTTAATAATTTATACCCTTGTTATTATTTTCTTTTATTGAGATACTTTGCGATTTTTATGTTCTCCATTGCTACAATTTCCCGAACAACGGCGTACCGCGCGTGCGCGTGCGTCGGTAGATTATAACGCGAGGGGAAAGAGCAAACATACGGTTCATGTTGCTTACTTACCTTAGCGCCGGCAGCGTGCGTCAAACCGTCTATTTTTAGTCTTCGCTGTTTTCACTTAGAACGTTAAGAAAAAAGAAACACACAGCAACACGCATGGAGCAGGTGCCGAAACATTGCGAGTTAACGGCAAGGGACGGGGAGAGGGGGAGGGGGGGAACGACGATGACTAATTTAAGAGTTGCGATGCACGCATTATTTTAATGCACCCTATCGAATGCGTCGTACGTGCGTTCGTCGCTCTCTCACGAGGGTCGTTGCAACCATATTTATGCAGGATACCCGCGAATCTGTCCTCACGTTCCGCGTAATGAGACTGTCCGATGAATTCGTAAACGGTGTATCCTAAAACTAAAACCAACGAACAAATTGAAATATCGATGATTTTTAAGTTGCAAGCGATTGAAAATCAAAAACTGCTTGCGAAAGAAAGAGAGCATCGTTCCCTGATGATTAATGGTAAAAAGTAACGTGAAATTAATGGTTAAAAATAAAGTGAAATTTCTACGAATACAATTTCGATCTTTTGTATAGTTTCATTGAAATCCATCCTAGGCATCTGCGGTCCCATGTTCAATCACGTTGCTATTTTAGTGCTTCTGAGTTTTTTTTTATTCTCTTCATTCTTATTGAAAGTTTCGATGAAAACATCTTTTTTTGTAAACGAGTGACGAACAATTCGATGGAAACATTTCCGGTGTCAGCAGGTATAAAGTTGGACACTCGAAGAAACTCGAACGAGTTGCTTGAAATGCTATAATTTTCTTTTTTGCTAATGGATTTTTCTCTTTTAGAGCTTGTAGTGTCTAGATGTCCTTAGTGATATGGGTGCGTGTTCTTAAATATATTTATGCGTTTCGAATATCTTTACTTTTGTATGGTGTTTCGTTACGTAAAAATTAGAGCTCACGATTATACATGTGTTACAATATTCACGTATACACATAACCCATGTACATGGGTGTAAGGAACCTTCATTCACGTGTATTCGTATATGTAACCTATATGCACGTGTATCCATATATGTGATACGTATACATTTATACATATTGTATTTACATTGAAGATGAAATACATGTATATAGATTAAGAATTTTAATTTGTGTGAATATTCGTGCGCACACAATCTTTTCCGTTTCTCTTGTTTATTTGTATTAACCCTTTGCACTCCGCTGTCGCCGTAGCGGCAACATGGTTGTTTTGCTGTGCCTCGGCACTTTAAGAAATTTTAAGTCCCAAAATTTATGTTTTTCTTTTATAATAGAATATGTTTTGTTATAAAATAGCTAAGAAATAAAAATTTTGTTTTATTGAAACGACTCTATTTTTCTTCTACATCATAGGTATGTACTTGGAACTAATAGCCTCTATGCATTACTAGGCTGGAGTGCAAAGGGTTAATATTGACACATTTTGTTGTCTTAATTTAACAATTTTATTGTTTTTTTTTATCTTTGTGTTTATTTTACTGAAGTTGAACTTAAAAAAATCTTTTTAATTTTCTTTCCAAGATCGCTCCAAACTTCAACCACATTTGCATTCAGATGTTTTTAATGATGTCGCGTGCTTTGGAATATTTTTATAAATTACTGTATATTTCTTTTACCTCTGTAAAAGATTTCGCCGAGGTTCTTAAAATTGACGCGAAATGTCCTTGTGCGAATGAAATCGAGCGAGTTGTAAAAAAAATCAATAGGCTTGCGTCACATACTACGTTATCATGGGCATTTTACATTGTAATAGTCTTACGTCGTACGTTACAACAAGTGTCGCATTATATGCATGTAGGCGCGCTCGGAGTACGTCAGAAAAACCAGATTATCGAGCGTGCCCTTCTCGGCGGGACGGGATGGAATTCAGTGACGTCATCGTGCCGACGTACGGGCATTTTCTCCGCGCGGCTAGACCGTAACGTGACCAGGCAATACCTGGTCGATCAAGTGAAATAGGGCTTCGTGGCGTCACACGACCCTCAGTGAGATCACTTGGTCGCAAATGATGTCACCGTGTGCTTTCGCCGCCGCACGGTCGGCTCGGCTGATGAAGCGTCATTCACTGGGAATGGCAGCTCCTCCGTTTTAAGCATCGAAGAAGATGAAGCCAACCGAGCTTGACGCCTTTCATCGATAATTCCGGGATAATTTTTTCCGCTAAACGAGGATTTATTTTTAAAGACGGGTAAAATCGCTTCTCACGCCTCGTCGGAATATTCTATAAGCCTCTTCTCTCTTTCACTATTTCTGGCTAGTCGCGAACTCGGGATGAACATCGCGCGCTTTAAAAATATTAAATTAACTCTGCCCTCGCGAAATGAAAGTAAGTGGACAGTTGATATCCAGGCTGGCGTGAATCGTTTAGCTCGCTTTGATTGAAGAGATTGGAGCGGAAAATTTTGTTATTTTAAAAATAGACGTAAGGTGAGGTATTTTGAGAATTGTCGAATAATGCCGTTTCGTATTGCGTATTTTACAACATATTGTGTATGTCAAGATGCGTTTCGAAAATGCGTCGAAGAAAGTTGTGAAACTGTTTTACAAACGAATATACCTTTTTACGACACGGGGAACAAAGACATCGACAAACAAACCATTCGAAACTTCTCATTTCGTAAACATGCCATTTCGCAGTAAGGACTGTATTGTCTAGCGAACTAGGAAGTCGACGGTGCGGTGATGTTAATTTTGGGTCAATATACAATACTTTTGCGAATCGTGACGCGCACCGACTGTTGGATAAAACACGCTAGTCAGTTTTCAATAAATAGACGTCGCCTTAGGTGAGGCAGGAGAGCCACAAAGTGAAATTTACTCTCATCTTTTAAAATAATATTTACGTACGCAGAACCGCCAACACCAATTGGTATCGTTCAGCGTGATCTTACGATTTGGCGAGATCGCCTTCTCATCATGGCTCACAAGCGGAGCGCGCAATCTGGTTATTACCGTTATATCCAACATTCCTATTGGATAGCTATTGTTCGTCGGAACAATTAACGAACCTCAGTTTCGTAGCGCGCTATCATCGAAATTTCATGCCCAGTTGCAATCGGATAATCGGTGGTGCGATAAAGTTCTGGATATAATTCGACGTTAACATTGAATTTTATCTTGGTCCGCGTAAATAGATTTGTCAGAACAGTTTATCTGCAACCTCGAGATCCGAACACACTGAAATAACGTCGGTTGCAGCTGGATCAAACCGAACCCGAATTCTCTAGTAATCACATATTCCTGAATTAAAATATGTATATATGTATGTATAGCAATCATAGACTAATTACATATCAACTATCTATCAGAGTCTAATTATCGCATCGATAGTACGCGATAATACGAAAATTTGTGGATTCGCGCGCGTGCATACGTTTCGCTGGCGGGACAAATATCTTCTAAAGCCGAGCAGGTGGAATACGCTTTCCCGAGATGTTAACAACGTCTAAGGAGCCGCGATTTCTGTCTGAAAATCCGAGGTCTTCCATATCGTTGCTACTGCGCCGCGGCTTATTTTCGCCCGCGCGAAAACACCGAGATGCAGCACCGATATCGATCGATTTTGCGAATCACGGCTACCGTGAAAACACACGAGAGATTGCGACTGTGCCGATGTAGTAACTAGCGATTGCGCTTTAATCCATGGCCGCGAATAAAACCAGTTTTTAGATCTTAGAAGGAGCTTGTGGATACGTCATCGCGGATGTAGACGGAAGTTGGGAGATTGATTTGTTTAAAATCACACGTAAGATCCTTCGGGATGCTAACGACTGGGAAAACCCGTCAGACTCGCCTTGACACGACCGCGAGAGATACTCCACGCAACAATCCACGTGTCGACGTATATATATATGGCTATATAATTCTCGTTGAATACTGGTCGAGAAACGTAGATATTTCTTTGCAATTATCTTCCCGTCGCAAGAGATCGTGAAAAGTTATCAATCGTCAGAAAGATTCGGTGGCTACGCCACTGCGGATGTGAACAGAGGTTGACGGAGGCTGTTGAGAATGATAACTTCATCCGAAAGAAAAAGAAAAAAAAAATCCCGAAAGATCTCGCCCCAGGCCGTCGAGATCGTTTGACTCGCCAAAATAAAACGTCGATTCGCCGCCACGCGGTAAGACCGGTGCGTCGGCATGCATATACATATATACCTATATAAAAGTGTCATCATGCCATTCCCGAGGATAGTTGGTCGCTGCGCATCGAGCGAACATGATCGAGGTAAGAGAGAGGATCGAAGGATCCGCTTCCCGAGCGCGCGCGTGTTCTTCGAAGAGTGATATTGAATTCGATCACAGATTTGCCTTCGGTCGCGTGATTTTCTCTCCGACGATCGGTGAAAAGCGAGCATTTTCCTACGCGATTCACGAACATCCCAGTCGCATTCCAATCGCGTGACTCTTCACGAATCCGAACACAATACTCGAATCGGAGATTGTTTTTGGTGATAAGCAGTGAAGAATGCGTCAACATTTCTCGCTAGGGTGACGTCATTTTAATCATGACGCTAGCCTCTGTCCGAGTTGGTGTTCGGTTGGTTATAACGCGAACGGCTTCGCTTATTTTGCAACGATTAATCCGCGATATTTCCCACCGTGCGGAAAATTAATATCTCCTTTATTGACCGTCCATCTCTTTCCTAAAATGTCGTAACGAACGAAACAACTTTCGGGAGATAAATGGAGTCACTTCGGCCCTTCGCTAATTTTAGTAGCAAGGCTTATAATTAAATTTCATGGCTAAAATTACACGAATGGTTAGCGTGGTTGTGTGGGCGAGAAGGGGAAGAGAGGGTGCTCTCGCCGTTCGTATAATTTTAGCAAGAAAATCTAATTATACGTCTGTCGTTGAAGGCGGGACACACGATTACTCGCAAAGTGGTTGACGGTGCTCGGATAGATCATCAGCAATTAATATCGCCGGAATATCCGTGCGAGAACTGCGTCGTGTCCGCGATAAAAGCGATTAGCTAATCGGCGGGAAATCTAAGAATGACGTTGAGCGGAGAACTGTATGGAGTTTCGGGTATTTTGCTCTATTTTGAGCTCTATTGCAATTCTGCAAGCAGATAGCTGAATCGGTTAATTGAAGATAGGCTCGACAGTTTATCGAAGTATCAAGCCGGTGTCACAATCTTCGACGTCTACTTTTTCTCTTTCGGTATTCTTGTTCGGCGAAACGCGTCTCGCGACAGCGATAAAATTAGCGATCGATTATTTTTTTTTTCGAGTGCAAGGCGCGGTCAGCTTATTTCGGCAAGCGCACCTCGCGACCGATCTCGGTGACGGCAAAAAATCATTTTTATCCGCGGCAGAAATAACTTTGTCCCGTTCGACGAATCTCTAGTCAATCGCGAGAAAGTGGGTTATCTTTTAACCTGGTCGCGATTTGGGTCAAGTGAAGTGGAGGCCGCGAGCGTGTCTACGTGAAATAGTGGGGGTGTGTCGGATCTCCCCCGCGCGTATACCTATTTGCTCATCTACGTACCCATTTACCTACGCAAGTGTCGCGAGTCCGCTTGAAATTTCCGCGAGAATCCTCAACGAGCAGTCTCCGATCTCCGGATGATTTTCAGGATTTTCAGGACTTTCGCCCAAGTCCCGCGCGACTTTATGTCGAAGGTACGGTAGGAAAAAGAATCACCTAGATTGTGTTCATAAATTCGCGGCCGTTATTCATTCGTGCGTAGTCGCGCGACGGCACGCTGAATTAATTTCGCGTAAATCCCGCGTAATGCGCATCACGTTTCGGAAATAAATCTCGCGCGTGATCCTTCCACGATGGAGTGGTCGTTTTTCTGACGCGCGCCAACCAAGCGAACACGACGGCGAACGTAATAATTTTTCACTCCGGTCGTTTCGATTAATGTCAGTTGAGATCATCGGAAAGGAAATATTTCGAGGCACTTTTCATTGCGGCTGTTCAATATCTAATTGTAATTATTATGATAATTGAACTTGGAGAATTTCCCAGTAAATTCGAGTTCACTCAAACTTAAGTTAATGCAAATACGCCGCATTCCAGTGCTTTTTATGTAGTTTCTAGTACTTTTCCTCGGCGTTTATGGAGCACTGGCGGCTCCTCACACGCCTCAACCGAATCACGATGTCCATCACCATCTGAACAACAATGCGGAGGTAATCGACGATCAGCTACCTGGCACGGAAAACCTCAAAGAGAAGGCGCTACCGATATCTCAATTATTCGCTGCGGGGACGAATAATCTGTCGGCGAATAATAATTTGGCGGAAAGGACTCAGATACCGCATCGACTGCCCGGGACGGCAAATCTGGCGGAAAAACGGATTCCCGATGTTGTCCTGAAAAGGTTGCAGCCTTCCGACATCAAATGATGCAAGGGAATCTCGATGTTTCGACACCTCGTTCGATGACATCAATATTGAAGGCACGTACGCTGCCCTTATAAGAACTACTGCGAAGAAAATATATTTAATTTATTGCGGCAGAGATGCTCTGATATGCATCCTCCATCCCGCCGCTTAAGCGTTTGTTTATATATGATACCAGGACAATTTACATAAACTACATGATTATTTTTCTTCGCCAAATGAGACTAAGAATCGAGGATGTCTAAAAATTATTTCATTGCAAAGGATTGCAAAGATTTTTTTTTTCGTTAATTAACATCCAATCTTTTCGCAAAAGGATGCCTCTGCAGGGTATGATTGTCGATAAATTATTACTTGTTCCGCATTACCTCGACGAAGTAGATTTGATTTTAACTTGTTATTCGCTAACAACGTAATTTCGAGCGTAATGGAACGGCTGCCAGATGAATTCTCGCGAGAGAAAAGGTGCAATTTACGCTTTCTTTTGCTCTTGCCGCCGTTGCAACCGTCATTCCATTGCAAGATTGCTGTTATTACATACATCACGACTGCAGTTGTATAGTCAATGGTATAAAATTAGAGCTGCTGTCTATTCTAAGCTAAGTTTTCGAAACGATGTATTCCAAGAATAAAGAAATGTGAAATCCATCGAAAATCGAATTGCACAATCTGTTGTTTTACCCTTTACTGTGTAAGATGACAAAAATATTGCTCATTTTGTAATGTAAAATTTATATTTCACAACATTATTATTATGTGTAATACGTTTTACAGAAAAATACAGCGATATTGAAAACGAGAAGCAAGTGTAAACGTTAAATTTAGGTTATCGTGCTAACAAAGTAAATAGCTTGATTACTTTTCGCTGCCTTCTAAAGATAATTAATATATGGTGTCGCCATCGCGTGTGTAACGTTCGTCATCGCGTGTGTAACGTTCGTCGGTAAAGACGAGAACGTGTTATTACAGGATATCATTAACTAATAATATTTTATCTGTGGTTAGTACCTATGTTTCTCATTAGTTTTGACCACCGTCGAAAAGATAGAAAACCAGTTCTTTCTTAACGTAGCGTTTCTCTTCTCGGTAAGGTGCGTGTGTTTCTCTCAATTTCTCTTAGTTCATTGTATCTTTCTCAAGATAGAGCCACAAGTAAGATTTAACGGGAATGAATTATATACATCAAAAAGCATGCGCGCACTGAAAGAAGTAGAGTCAAGAATTAAAGAAAGAATATTGATTTTTTTTGCATTAAATTATCGAGCAAGATCTTTAAGTGTTAATAAAGCGCGAACACGCGAGACAATTTTAAATCTCATTGACATACTTTGTAAAAACGATACGTATAATAGCAAAGTAAATGTTAAAAATATTGTTAAACGACAGATTGTTTTTTTATGTTGCCTGTGAAATATTTCTTTATTGAAATCCGATTATTTCGTTCTCCGCAATTAGGCTATTTGTATTTTTTATTTTCTCCGTTTCTTTTTCTCTTTTTACGTAAAAAAAAACGAAGGTACTCCGTAATACATACGATTCAATGCTGTGCCTTCGCGAGATTGACGTGCCACCCTTCAGGCGTTGCCGTTTCGTACTCGCTGGACATTATTCCGTCGGCGAATTGCACCAAGTCATGGCAGTCCTCCGTACGTGTTGGAACTTTAATCCGGTCGGCGTTTGGATTTAATACACGCAACCGATTAACAGCGAGATTACACAGGGCTCTACGTGCAGTCGTCGAGCTTATGGTAGCTTTAAACTAAAATTAGCTGAACTTTGCGTATCTTCGGTGCCGCACGCCTTATTCCAAGCAGCGCCGCGTGTTGATCGTCGAGCGCAGGGATAATAGGGCTTCCACTTCACCCCGAAAAACTTGACTTTACTGCGTCAGAGTCTAGAATTCGCGATCTATCGATATAAATGGGAATCTCCGAATCACCTTCGACGCAAAATTATTAGTAGGAAGGATCGATGAAGCTTGATATTAATTGACGCCGACGACGAAAAGGCGGTTCAATTAATCCTCTTTACACAAGGAAACATTCCCGAACTGGGAAGTGAATTATATTCGTAATTTCTCGCACGTAAATATATATGGTATATGGATTATCTTTAAAGCTGTTTCTCAACTTCTCGTTACATAAAACCTCGGCGATTACAAATCGCGCGTTATCAGTCCGGACGTTTACGTGTGCGACCTCGTTGAGCAGCTCGTCGCAGGTAAAACTAACGAACCAACCGCCACCGACGAGGCTTATCTTCCCTTCGTGCACGCGCTATTACGTGCCATTAGTGCAGTGACATCTTCGCGAAGTGTGAAATCTAATATTCACGCCAAGTTGTTGCTCCGAGCGTGTCGTTCTCTCTCTCTGTCCCTCTCTTCCTCTCTCTTTCCTGCCTTCCTCTCTTTCCCACTACCTTCCACGCTTGCTCGCGCGTGTATGTCGACACGTGTCGTTCTGGTCGGAGCACACGCGACCCGACGCACGAACGAACGAGCGAGCGAGCGAAATGTTCAAGAGAGAGAGAGGACGCGTTCCTACAGCCGCTAATCTTAAGAGGATGATGTTTGCATGGGGATAAGTTGGGGATTGCGCCGGCGGGTTACGGTTTCGGGGCCGAGTCAAAGACACCGACCGGCGTGGCGATGCAACGGCAATGCCCCCCGGTCAGGCGGGTTAACCGGCTTCTAACTTTGAGCGATGCCGACCGACTCTGCCCGCGCTCGAAATCGGTCGATTAAAGCCGCTCACGCGTACGTGCACACGTATACACCTAGCTGCGCGCGCGCGCACGTTCGCAAACTCGGCACAGTACATTGTGCGTTCAAACACGATGACTGCACCGCTCGGCGGATGCCGGCCATAGAGGGACTCAAAGACTGCCGATTCACGTTTTGATGCCCGCGAGAAATCAAACAATTCCGGTGTCGATAGTTATGACCGATGCTTCGGAGAGACGCGATGTATCGGGTGGGGAATGACGCGACGAACGAATGCTTTGATTTGTTTTTCCGCCTTGAATAATTTTTAACGCGCTAATAATTAATGCTCGGAAAGTGGAGTGCGATTTTTGCCCTAGGGCGTGGAGGCGACTTAATTACGGAATTTTTACCTCGCAATTTCCCACAGTGTTTAACCGCGGTCCTCGATGAGTTAACGTCAAACGTTATCTTCCGAAGGCACTGATTGGCCGAATGAAACGGCTCGGGTCGCGTGCAAAATGAGTTCGACGGGATTTTCAAAGTGTCACGAATAATGCGCTTAGTCCACCCGGAATGTTTCCAATAACAAATATATCTCTCTCCCGTGAGAAAGCTAACGACACGTCCATCCATTGGAGAAAGCATAGCAACGAAAGGGCACACTATGCACTACCACGGCTACTCGCTTTTACAGTATCGAATTGCGATGCGGTAGAGGTATCTGGTGCTACGGTTTCGATGGACGAATGTACCTATCGCTGACATCGTTGCGCCGTAGCGAAACTAACTGTTCCCGCGCGTTCCCAAGCGACAATGTAATATAGAACGCGTTTTATTACTCGATATTACTCTTTCATTGTAACATGCTCGTTAGCATCAGATTCTTCTTTCGTTTCCTACGATAATGTTTCCTTTCTTCCATTGTCTGTTTGACGCGAGATTACGCGATAAAAATCCTCATACGTTGAAATATATATATCGTACACAAACGTAGCTGGAGTTTTCTCTGAAATGAAATTAATAATTGGTTCGTCTCACTGTCAACCGCCCAATGAACCGATATTTCACCGGACTTAATTATTACAACCGTTATTCAGCTATAGTCGGCGTTAAAGCACAGAAAAATTCTCAGCGCAACGTCCCCGGGGTGCGCATTCAAAGTAGCGTATACGTTTTAGTGAAATAGCCCTCGCTATGAAGTCATAACGTTTTGCACGCGGAGCACGTGAGGGAATTCATTAATGGAAAATGCTGCCGAGTATGTACGTAAGTGCGCGTGTTGTATTTATTTGAACGCGATACCGTTAGATACAAGTACTGCGCTCATATCTGTATATAAACATGGGTCGTACATTTAAAAACGTATATTCTGTAAAAAAAAAAAAGAATTCGGTGAAAAACTTTACGAGAAATCGAACGGTAGGACCGAATTGTAATTAGTTGGGGTATCGGAAATCATAATTAATGGATAAATATATGTCGAATTGGATTCCATGTTGTTGAATATTTCGCAGGAGAATGAATGGAGGAGAAATAAAAGAGAGGGAGAGAAAAATTATCGTCATCATGATTCGTAAAATCTATTTTTACGACAAATCCAACCGTGTATAGTAAAGTTATTTTCTGAAAACACTTTCTTGATTTCGGTTTCCCTCTTCTTCCGAGTCACTCTCCCGCGAAATATTTCACGGCAGAGTCTAATTTATTTATTGTGTTATTAACTGATTGTGTCTGGTTTTCTGTGTCGGATGATGGAAAGCTAAAGTGTTTCTCTCGCGGCCGTAGCATTACATCGTATCGAATCGCGGATCAAAAAGCGTGTTTCGCGAGTGATCGACGCTTGTATCGCGGCGCGAGCATACGAGTGAATGATGATGGCCAAGAGATTGTTATGTACATATGGTTATTTACGTACACACCCGTGCTCGCGGTGTGAGAAAGCCACGATTGCGCTTAAACAATGGGATCCACCGCTCTGTTTACCGGCTAAATATTGACGCTTGTCAGGCTTCAGGCGTGCAAGAAGGGAGGATGAATCGGCCGAATCGTCGCTTCGCTTCTTTAAATATCGAGTATTCTGAAAAAAATCACCTGGTTGGGAAAGCCTGTCAAAATCACTCCTTGCTAAAATCGTAGCAACTTCATCAAGTATATATCCCTCTTTACGAAACCATTACAAAAATTTGCGTATTATTTCGTATCTAAGTAAAAACGTTCGAATGACAAATTGGAGTATTTCAAGGCAAGGTGAATTATAAAACGTTTGCAGTGAGCAGAAGCACAATAACGCCGACAATGCTTGTTAGACACAGATCAAGCGCGTGAAATCCTTTCACTTATCTCGTCTTCAGGCAATAAACGCGTGCGTAATGCGCTTGTAAAAATGTACTTTGTCGTTCAAGTCGTAAAAATGCATCTTATCGCCTCTAAGTTCCGACTGTGCGCTTGGCTCTTTGAAGCGCCCGGGAAAGTTGAAGAGTCAGGGGGGAAACTCGAAGAAGGTTCCATTTTCGCATAGACCCGGGCACGCCGTGAATCGTCGTTACCCGGAACAAGAGACGTAAAGTGTCTTTGCATTTGATTCGTAGTAGTTACAATGACGATTGCCTTCGCCGGAGCGCGACTGCAGTTCACTATTGTTCCGCGAGCATGTTGCCTTTGAAAAGGGCATTTCGGCGAGGCGCAACTTCTCAAGACCCGTCGAGGATAGTCGACAAATCGTGTAATATTCGGACCGGACCATATCGAATATCTCGTGATTGTGGCGTTTGTTGGAGCGCGTTCGCGCTGACGGAATGTGTACCTCGATCGAGTTTCGCCCGGAACCAATTAAGGCCGAAAGAGAAAAATAAAACCGTCCTCACGCGGTGGATTATATAAATACTTTTAACACGTCCCATAAAAAAAAAAATCGCGCACCCTGCAGTTTACGGATGATCACCTTTCTCATTTCAATTCATACGATAATATCT